AGAGCAATGAGACGAAACACTGACTCCAGAATGTGCTCTCTACTCAAAACTGTGGGAATTCATAAGGTCTTTATCTGGCTTTTCAAACAGAAAACCACGGTGCTATGAATGCAGAGAAACTAAGCCATGGTATGCATTTCGTGCTAAACAGAAGAAGGATTAATGCTGTTTTTTGAAAGTGGGACGTAGAACAGCCCCGCTTGCAAGACCTGGTAGAGTGGGCTGTGGAGAACAGGCTACAGCTCGACAGGAGCTGGTGACTCCAGGCAGGTCATCACGGTCCTGTCAGCATGGCACCCAGTAGCACACTTCAGGCATCAGCATGACGATTGTTGTGGAGTGCAATCCCCCTGAGGCCCAGACAGTCCATTAAAAAGATAGGAAAAGGGCTCCATTTTTAAGAATTACTCCCAAGGGGTGGTTTAGGGAGCTTCTCATTACTTCCTCCCTGCTGCAAGTTGCCGTTCCCTACTGGGATCGAGTAGTCAGCTGTTTCAGCCCTTCAAGTTAACAGAGTGAAGCAGCTTGCTTAAGCAGTTCCCATGTGTTTCAGACAACAGGCCCCTGCCCTTTTTCTGGAATTATCTGCACCCCTATACACCACTCACATATATCCATCGCCTGGCCTGTCCTCGAATCTCTGCAAACCAACTGCCAGCCTTCCCTCCAGCTGTAGCTATCTACAGTCCCTTCTACCCTGTTCTATGCATTCCCTGAGAAAACATCTCACATCCAGCGTGTGAGCAAACTGGACAAGTCCCAGTCCAGGTTTTTTTCCTGCCTCCCTGCAAAAAGAGAAACACCCTGACTCTGACTGCTTCCCCCTGCCCCCATTTTCAACATGTGCCCCCTGCCTTCTTGGCTGGAACCCCTGTAAAGCTGTTTTAACTCCAGGCAGTCGTGGCACATGCCAATCCCTGTCGTCCCATGTTCCATCCACACAGGAATTTTGTAGGAGAACTGCCTCTTTCACCTACAAATCCCACAGCTACCTGGCTCATGCCAGTGGACCTGCCAGGAAGAGGCCTTCCAGCCCTGGTGTGGTGCTCATGAGCAAGCACACCATGCTCTCCACAGGCTGCCTCAGCTCCAGGCACCACCACCCTGTGGAAAAAGAGGAAACATTTCTTCACCAAGTCACTGAGTTGCTATCACACCAGCAGGCTCCCTTCAGCCTGAGCCACGTGCTATGATGCCCATACCAGGATGCCAGCTGGTCAAAATTCACAGATTCACAGAGTGATGGG